CCAAGCTGTTCCAGACTTCCTACTAACTTAACAACAAGTCCCTCGATCGGAGGGCCTGGTGCCAGGCTGGCGCAAAGCGCCCCTCGCGAAGCGAGCCTCCCCTCTTTCAGAGGCTTGCTTCGCGAGGTGCCCCCGGCCCTCTGGTCGAGGGGATTATGTTAAGCTAGGACTTCCTAGGTATTAGAATGATACCGAACCAGTACAGGAGAATACACAAGCGGCGCCGGAATCAGGGCGCCGCTAGGATTGAGCAGAGTGTTCGCACCTCACTCGTGGAATCTCGGAGAAATGGGAAAAGGAGAGATAGATTCCATGAGTCTCTCTCTCCGGATCTGCATCCGGAGGGAGTATATGTAGGGACTGCGGCGAGTCTCAGGGCTGTAACCCCTTGTGGGTTATGTAACCCCTTGTGGGTTACAACACCCCCCCTCTCGCCGCAGAACCTAGTCTACGTACAACTGATGGAAAGTAAGAGTGAAAACATGACAAGGTGTAATCGAGAGAAAAAAGAAAAAAATTTAAAGGGAAATGAGTATGACAAAAATAACTTCAACAACCCATAATTCTGTCTTTCAGGGCAGTAAAAACATCCGGGGTCAGACATTTGGTGAAGATGTCCGCGAGTTGATCTTTTGTCCCGATCCAGTCAATAGTAGTCTTCTTCTGAAAAAGAGCTTCATTAGCAATATAGAAATCACGATCAGTGTGCCTCGTCCTTTTGTTGGAGGCATCATCCGTGGCAACTCGAATAGCGGATTGGTTGTCGCAAAACATGTTTCCTACAAAGTCTTGACCAAGCACGTCTTTCAAAAGGTGTCTGACCCAAAGAGTTTGTCGCGTTGCAGTTCCCAGAGCCATATATTCCGCGTGGCAAGTTGAGGAAGCAACTGACTGCTGTCGTCTTGATACCCAAAGGATCGGGCAATTAAGATAGGTTGTTAGTATACCATATGATGAGCGAGAAAATTCCCCTCCCCACGAGGCATCACAAAAACACTTCAATGGTTGACTGTCAGTAGTCGGAAATAGATTCAGCTTGAGATCTCTTGATCCAGCTAGGTAATTTACCAGATGTCGCAGTCCTTTCCAGTGCTCCGTACCCGGTTTGGCTGAAAACCTTGCCAGGTAGTTAACTGCAAAAGCCATGTCTGGTCTGGTACCTACCGCTAAGTAGCTGAGGGACCCAATGATCGAGAGATATTTCGTTGATTGTCCTTCATCGCCTCCCGGGTCCGTGACCGCATTGAAACCTGATGGGAGTGGTGTCTTGGCCATGGAGCTGCCGTCCCATTCTGTGTTGAGGATGTTGGCTATGAGGGCTTGTTGACCTAGGGTGAAACCCTTACCGCTACGGCTGACGTCCAGACCTACAATAGAAGTTAATTTATCGGACCATTTTATCTTCAGCAGGTCTTTCAGATCAGATTCTAGTTTCCTTATCAGCCTCTCAGAAGATGCTGTCATGACTCCGTCGTCAACATGAAGCCATACCACACCAAGCTCTTCCGGGTGTCGAAGGATATAAAGACTGTTATCGTACTGCGACGGGGAATAACCAAATTTGTCAAGTAAGTCTTTAAGGTGCAGCCACCAGCACCTCGCAGCTTGGCGTGTGCCATAGAGTGCTTTCTTCAGGAGTAAGCCGTGACCACTTGGGACTTCCAATCCCTCCGGTGGTTTTACCCAGATTTCTTCATCAATCGGCGAGTTGAGATAAGCTGCTACAAAATCAAAGTTGTGGACGGGCCACTCATTTGCAGCGGCGATGGTCAACAGAAGTCGGAGGGAAACAAAAGTCGCCGTCGGTGCAAAAGTTTCGTTGAAATCCTGTCCTGCTATTTGGGTGAATCCTTTCGCCACGTATCGGGCCTTGAATCTCACCCCAGAGCCATCTACATCCGGCTTAGTGGCAAACACCCACCGGCCTCCTAGTTCCTTTGTTCCCGAAGGCTTCAACAGGAGTTCCCAGACCCGCATCTGTTCCAGGTTTGTCAGTTCCACCGCGATTGCTTTTGACCAATCATCTTTCTCGGATGATTTCATCGCCTGCTTGAAAGTCCTCGGAACCGTTATTGCATAGAATTCGCACATCTCTATGATTTTGTCTATAATCAACTCTTGATTAGTGAATTCAATTTCATTCGAGAAGTCGCCTAACTGCATTAGATTCATAATGTAATCAAGAGAAAGTTTAGCGTTCTCCTTCGGTTTGTCCACAAGAGTGCAAGGCTCCACCTGAGCGTCGATCTGTTGAGTAGGTTTGGAGAAAGGAACATCATTCGGAAATCTTACCATCGCCGATGTGGCGAACGTGTTATCCTCTGGTATCCAAAACAGCCAACCCTTGCTGTCGTCGAGGTGGCCGATTACATGAGCTTGGACTGCTCTCGGCTCAAGTCTGAGGCGTTTCTCTTCCGGGATGTGAATATATCCTATTGCCCCAAAAACCCTGAAACAGTCGTAGCTTGGTTTGACGTGGAACATCCCTTCGTAAGGGGTGACGTCACCGCTAGCCTTGTTCTGGATGCGGTTCAGGACATGGTTGGCCCAAAGGAACGCATAACTCCAGAACGATTTTGGTAGCGTGCTGTCGATTAAAATTGTCCGACCCATATCTTGAATTGTCCTGTTGTACCTTTCTATCATCCCATTTTGATAATGGTGATATGGTAAGGATTTTTCAGCTCTGATACCTTTTGACACCAAGAAATCCTCGAGAGCTTTGTTGGTGAATTCTCCTCCATTGTCGCTCCGGAGTGTTTTCAACCGCCTGCCTGTCTGGTGTTCTAATCTGGTAATGATGTCAATAATATTTTTGTTCGCATCGGATTTGAGATTAAGAACCTTAGCAAAAGAGTAGCCTGTTGCCTCATCCCTCACAGTAAGGATATATTTCCCGCCATCTACAGATGGAACCTCAAAAGGCCCGATGAGGTCAGCCGCCATGACATCTAGGCGTTCAACTGGCCGGTAAGATGGAGCTAGGGGATTGATCCTGGTGCTTTTGCTGATAGCGCAAACGGGGCAGTGGATCTTGCCAGGGGGCAATTCCACAGGCAGCCCGTGTCCAAGTTTGTGCTTTATCAGCCGGCGGATATGACGAAGGCTAGCATGGCCAAATAGTCTGTGCCAAAAGAGAAGGGTCATTTCATCTTTTGTCAAGGACTCTGGCTTCCATTGGAAATTTATAGTCTTTCCGACTGGTTCTTTGAAAATCTCACTAGGAGGAATCACTTTGGACGCAAAAACTGAAATATGATTATCAATTGCCAAATCATTAGGAGAGTTAGTTCTAGCAGGAGGAAACAAAGGGGGCAAGGGTAAAGAAGAGACAGCGGGAGACAAGTGTTTAGGAAAAGATAGATGAGAAGGAGGGAGAAGAGGTCGATTGCCTTCCGTCAGATCGTGCCTCGGAGGTGACCCGTTTTGTGAGTTCGCCTTGATCATCGGGTAAGGCATGCACCATCGGTTCTTTTTTGGTTCAAAAACGCAACTGAAGATTTTGGCGCCGTTGGGGTGAAAGATGTGAAAAGCTTCTGCATCATTGTCATAGGTGACAGTTGCATTAGCCTTTCGCAGAGCAGCCATTGATATTAAGGTGGTGCGGGCTTGCTCACAGTATAGGACATGTTTAAGGACAATAACCTGGCCGTTAGGGCCTTGGAACTTCAAGTCCCCGATCCCTGTGATCTTTGATCCGCAACCGTTGGTAGCTACCGATACGGGAATCGGTTTTGGAAGATAACGGAAAGAATGGAGCAGGAATTTAGAACCGGTGAAACCGTGGGAGGCTCCGGTGTCAAAAACGGCAGGGTCACTCACAATGTCTTCCCCTAACGCCATCGTGCGGAAACCCAAAGTATCCAGATCATCCGGCAGAACGCCAAGCTCCACGATTTGTGCTGTAACCCCCCCGGGTTTGTTCGACGAAGTTGTTGAGCTTCTCTGGGTCTGGCTTTGATGTTGCTGATTGTACCTTGGTCGGTAGTAGTCGGCCATCTGCTTCGCTCTGTGTTGGTTGTTCGAAGGGGGGGCTAGAGACTTTCGAGTCGAGTAGTTGGGAAAACGACCCGAGGTGACTTGGAAACCACTCGGGAGCTGCCCGTAGATCGTTCCGACCAGAGTACCGATTGCTTGGGAACCGCCTTGGTTTCTTCGTGCTGGCAGCGTAGAACGTTGGGGGCACTCTCGTTGGTAGTGATCGTCACCCCCACACGACCAACACTTGGCCGCTGTCAGCGCGAAGAAGTCCAAGGCGTCGCACCAGTCAGACTCGTCGACGTCAGTGAGGAAAATCGATGCATCGAATTCATCGTTCAGAGTTGTTGAGGTCAGTAGGGCCGCTGGCGAGAAGACTGAACCGACTGGCTTGGCGACTTGGTTGGTGGATTGGAGGTGTTGTTGGCGACTAATGTCGTAGGCGTTGCAGATGAAGGAGAACGTCGGGCATGCTTTGTTCTGGTCGAACTGTATGGCATTCTCGATCCGATTTTCGAAGTCGGCCTTGTAGGGTGCATTAGACTCCATCACCGCGGCCTGCAGGAGGAAACCTAGGAATGAGTCTCCTCGACAGCTGACATTGACAGATTTCCACTCCGAATACATGTCGAGGAGTGTTGACGCTATGCCAGCGCTCGGAGCCGAGGGGTCCACCCGAAATGCCATCAGTCTTCTCCAGATGTTCATCTGTGCCGCCCGTGAGACCGTTTTGAATTTTTTCTTGAGCGCGAGGTACATTTTATGGGCCGTGTCGATTGATTGAAGGTCCGGGATCAGAGAAGAGTGGACACTGGCTAGCATCACTGCCCGCCCGATCTTTTCGAAGGTCTTGCTCCCACATGGCTCGAAGAAAAAGTCGGCGCTCGACAGACCGGTGCGGGAGATTTCCCTCAGACCGCGGATCCATTGGCCGAAGTTGGATCCATCCGGTTGGAGGGCGTCTTCTTTCTTCATGCTTGAAACGATGGATGCTACGGTCGACGAAACCAATTTGTTTTGTTTCAGCTTCAACTCAGACAGGCGATAGTCACGTTCATCTTCGGTCTCGGCCGCTTGACTGGGGTTTTGGTGCGGCGGTGGGTCTAGTCGAGCGGGTATCGGAGGGTTGAAATCAGCCGGGCGAAGGTCACCGGGGTTCGCATCGCCAGCTGGGGCAGTTTGAGCCCGGTCTGTCCTGAGTGGATTGTTTGTCCCGGACGTGCTCGCTTGGCCAGCTGGCCGTAACGTTTGATCGCCTGGGTTAACAGCCGGTCCCGTCCCTGCCACGGAGTCAAAAAGATTTGCCATGAGTTGGGCTCCGTCAGGTTGGTAATCTTCAGAGATGTCGAAAGATTCTTGGGAGGTTATCGATCCGCTAAGGCTAGGTCGACGTCGATCTCTTGTGTTTACTGTGGATCCGGGGTTTGTTGACATTAAACAGACTTGACACTTGGTCGGAACGGAGGAGGGATGGGAAGGATCACGGGGAGAGACGTGGTGGATAGGGGAAGTGAAAGGTTAGGGAAAAAGAAAATGGAATGAGGAGATGGATGTGGGGTGGCGGAATGGAATGAGAGGAATGAGGTGGATCTCGAGTGGGGAAAGAAGAAGTTGGAGGGGAGAGCGGGTGCGGAGATAGTTAGATGGATGTAGGAAGAAGAAAAAAAATGTAGAAAATGAGGATAGACAGGGAATGGAGGGAAAGGATATGAAAGGTATTTGAGGAGATGGGGTACGATATAGTTGAGGGAAAGAGAGTCGGAGAAATGAAAAAAAAGGAAAAGTATCTGTCACTCGTCAACTGTTCGGCGTCCCTGTTGTGCCAACAACAGAGACTTCCTCAGATGGCTAGTCCGAGTAGCCCTTCAGAGGATTCGTAACTTCAACCGGTACAACAGAACGGGATAGATGGGGAAACAGGGATAAACAGTGAAGAGGATCGATATAAATTTAGATAAGTCGATCGATGAAAAAAAAGGAGAAACACAGTTCCGAGGTATGATTAGTAACCGGACGGTGTTGAGAAGGGTATATCGGGAAAAACACAATTATGTGTCCTCCTGAGTTCTATGATTAGTAGAATTCGATATATAAGGAGTAGAGTTAAGCGCTATAGGCTCATAACCTGTTCGCACCTCACTCGTGGAATCTCGGAGAAATGGGAAAAGGAGAGATAGATTCCATGAGTCTCTCTCTCCGGATCTGCATCCGGAGGGAGTATATGTAGGGACTGCGGCGAGTCTCAGGGCTGTAACCCCTTGTGGGTTATGTAACCCCTTGTGGGTTACAACACAGAGATGCTCGGCCCCTTCGTTTTATGTACCTCCCTTAAACCCAGAAGGCTCAGTGGACATTCTGGGAAGCAGAGCCTGCACCAGTATGTGTGGAAGCGTGGAGCTTTTTGGCTTCGGTGAGGATTATGATGAGCTGTATGTATGTGTGGAAGCCTTGAGCTTTCGCCTTCCCTTCGTCCTTGTACATAGCAAACAGTCAAGCCAGTTTGCGAAATACACATCCACAACGTTACAACCGTGCTGCGCCTCCTGTTGGGTTGAGATATGTAACCAAGCACCAATCTTTGTAGCACGGGATAATACAGTCTTGACAACTACGGCCAGTACGACCTCCTGGTTGATGATGTGCACAGGAAAATATGTATTATTGACAGTGTGGATAAATAAGTATCCAGCATTTCTTCCTTGATCTTGAATCGTTGTCAGACTTTCTCCTTTTCAGTCTGAGTGATTATAGGGTCAGGCTTAGTACCTATGTACATCTTAGTGTTAATCAGTATATCAAGGGTCACTTCACAACTCATATTCACGGATTTTGAAAGCATCAGACAACACGACCAAAAAAGCTTACAACATCTTCTAAACAGTACACTCAACATAAAAAGAAGAAAAAAAAAAAAAAGGAACTTTATACAAGATCAGCTCCCAGCCTTTTTTCTGTGGACGGAGATCTCCCAATAGTGGCCAGAGAGAGATGGATGGGGAGACCGCGGCTGGGCCGAAGGGCCCGACGAACCAAGCTCCAGAACGGGCGCCGAGCTATTCGGCCCGAAGTCAAGCCCGGCCGGGTCGATGGTGACGAAGAAGAGAGACTGATCGATGCGAGCATCAGGATCAGGATCAGCGCCAGTGGAGAAAGAAGAATGATGAGGGATCGGAACCATGTCAACAGTAAGATGATGATGAGGAGGAGGATGAAGAGAGCCATCGATTCCGTCTTGATCCAGCGGGACAAGATGGCCATTGACGCGAAGTTGGATGAGAGCAGATAACGAAGAAGAAGAAGAAGAAGAAGAAGAATTGTGGTGATGATGGTTCGAGTGAGAAGGAGGACGAGTGAGGCAGATGAGGAAGCCTAGAGGCCCATTGAATAAAGATCTAAACCGAACACCCTCCGGCTGATCATCCACCGACCCGGATGAAGTCTTGGTAGTTGTGGATGGAAGCTGGGGGTCATGAGCACTAGGAGTGTCGGAAGAGAGTCGATGGTGGCCTGGTCGGTGAGCTTTCTGGATCGAAGACGAAGAGCCAGACGGAGATGAGGATGAGGAAAGGGGCGAGAAGAAGAAGTAAAAGAAGAGCGAGACGAGCCAGTTCCAGCCCAACTTGGCAAGACTACGGAGTTCAAAGACGATTGATCGGAGTGGATGTCTGAGAATCCTGCGGAGGATAGCGCTCAGACGTTGTGTCTTTTTGAGGGAGGCGGGACGACGAAGGATGGCGGCGACGAAATCCACCAGTCCTCCGTCCTCCGTTCCATCTCGCTCGTCGACGGTCTCCGTTTCCGATGGTCTAAGTTGACCAACGGCCGGTTGATCAGATCCGGACGAGCTCAAGGGCTGGTTGACAACAGAGGAAGATGGCGGAGACGTAGTAGTGACGGCACATAAGCCTACGAATTGGTCCAACAGTCCCAGGCTGGCCACCTGGATCCGGATGTCCTCAGTCGTCTGGCTGCCCTTGGGAAGAATAGGAGGGGGCGGCAGATCGAGGAAGGAGGCGATCCGCCAGACCTCGAACGCACTCTCAGGCCGGCCATCAAGAACACACTCGACGATCGGAGGGGACGAGCTCTGTGGAAGATGTCTCTCGGCTTCCAGGTCGAAGTCACGAAGCAGCTCGAGTCGACGGATGATCGGAAGGGGCGAGTCTTCTAGTGGTTGATGCAGACTGACGAGGGCCAGATCGACCTTCTTTGATTCCACTGGCCCGTCTTTCTGCAGGGACGCGAGGGAACGTAGGTCCATCATCGACTCGGCAATGTCTCGAGCGGTGAGCACGTCGATCGCCTTGGTCGAGGAACAGCTGTCGTCCTGCTTGACATTCCAGATCCCGATCAAGGCCCCCGAGGAATAGGGCACTGCAAGGCTAACTTTCAAGAGCCCCCACGGTGACGCAGGATCGCTGAGCTCAAGGGCAGGCTTGCCGAGAGCGCAGCTGGACAAGACGGCCCCCGCGCTGCCATCGCTGGGCTGGACGACCGCCCTGCGGGAAGGATCGGCCTTCAAGATGGCCGTCAGTCGCTCACAAAGAGCCAGATCGTGTTGGCCGAGCCGATCGGTCAGGTAGATCGGCGCACTCGAGAACGCCCGAAAACATCCGTGGTATCCGGCCCACTCGTGTCGACTCATCGTCATATCAAAGTCGGGGATATAGCCTCTTCCCTGTGCTAGGATCGAGACGAAAGCGTTGGAAAGGATGTGCCATCGATGGCCGTTGGGTGTTTTGAGATCGGGGAAAAAATCGTCGCTGGTCCTCATCACTTTCTTCTTCTTGCAAGACAGGCCATGAAGGCCATCCTTTCGATCCTCTCGAAACCAAATTGAGGGGGAATGCGCCATCGAATGGATCACGTTTTCTTCTGAACCCGGCTGCTGTACGAAATGGACAGACATCAATTCATCGACCAGATCCAATAAAGTGCTTCGATATGTGTGTGGGTCTTCACTCGGATCGGTTTCGCAGAAGAGTAAGCGATCCAAACCTGCTTGATTATCCATCTTCATCAAGAAATTCAAGATCAATTCCTCTTCAAAAAAAAAATGATTTTACTGAAGGGTAGCAAACCTTGACGAAATCCACGCCAGCAGCCCTAAGAAAGCCAAAGTAAGAGTCCCAAAACGAGCGCAAGCGAGCCCGACTAGGCAAGAGCCAACAGAGATCATCATCCCCAGGAGGACTAGGGGAGTGGCTGGAGGATGGACGGATGGCCCATTTCTGGAGGTCGTAGGAATGCATGAGTTCTGAGTGAGGATCGATTCCGCCCCAATAGCTGTTGGTCTCACCCAGAAAGTAAATAAGAGATCTTGTTGGAGATGGGAAGAGTAGAGTGTACTACTGACCCAGTGATCGTGATCCATACGCCGACCAATTGGATTGGGCTTCCGGGGTAGTTCTTGATAGCCTTGACAGCCTCAGTGAGAGTCGATGGATGGGGGAGGGGGATATCGAGCCAAGACTGAGGGGCGCCCCAGCCGGCCAATCGATTTCCGTTGAGGTCCTGCCAGCCGTCGTCGAGGAGAAGACGATCGAGTGCGGGGAGGATGCGATGTACACGGAAGCTGTCGAGGATGGCGATCACCTGGGAGAGGGTGTACTTGGGCCCCAGCGAGTTCCATGTGCAGTATCCCATTCCCTTGGGCTGGGGTGGTGGTAGTACTGTGGCGGCTTGATCGGGATGCAGTTGGTGGGGGAGTAGCTCGATGATCATCCGTCGTAGCTCTGAGGTGGGACCGGTGATCAGGACTAGCTCGGGCTTGGGTTCTGGTGTGGTTGTGTTAAATTGGGTGGATATTGTGAGGGGGGAGGCAGGGGTGGCTCTGATGGATGAGGAGTGAGTCTGAGTGCTGATGGGGAGGATGATGGCGAGCTGTTGGGTGTCTGCGATGATGAGCAGTTGGGTGTCGAGTGTCTCTGGGATCTCGGATAGGTTGCGGAGTGGCTGTGGGGTGAACCAGGTGGGTTTGGTTCGTTGGAATGCGAGTATATAATGATGATCATGGTCTTGGGATGTTGGCAGGGGAATAGGGTGGAGTTGGGCATTCTGATGATGATGGATGGCAGTTGGTTTGAGAGTGAGTCGGTTGTGTTGGATTGTTTGCTGGTTGTTGTTGTTGTATTGGATGGTGTTGTTTGATAGTGTTTTGAGTAAGTGCTGGATGAATGTGTTGTTGTTGTTGTTGTTGTTGTTGGCTGTTGTTTGGATGTGGGCATCTTGAGTTGGTTTGGCAATCCAGATGATGGTTTCTTCGGTTGTTGTTTTCTTGAGTTTGAGTCTGTAGGTGAATGAGTATAGGCTGTTTGGTTTGAGTTGGATGGTGGTATGCCAGAGCTGTGTTTGATCATTGAGTTTGTTGAAGCTGATAGCTTCCCACTCCTGCTGTTGTTCTGGTGATGATGAGTGGGAGATCCAGAGCTCTGGTGTGATTTGGGTAGTGTCTGATTCGCTTTGGAATCCATAAAAGCTGAAGTTCGTTGGCTGGCTGATGGTGGTGGAGTTGATGGGCGGGTAGAAGTGGAAGGAGTGCTCCATCTTGATTAAGAATGATGGCTTGGCTTGTTGCGCTTGGTTTGATTAAACTGGCAAGCTTGAACTCATTCAGAATTTTGGTATTTATAATATTCAACAAAACTCTAGTATTGATTAAACAAGTCTACAAATAATCAACCTTGAAGATTGACTTGGATCTATATGGTTTTATAAGGCTAAAAGAGGGCTATATCGTAATCCAATCCAAAAAAAAAAGAAAAAGAATAAGAAAGCTTCTATCCAACTAGATCCTTCTTCCACCACCAGATAACAGTTGAGATCTGATCATCAGATTGAACCCAGTTCCTTCACGAGACAATTCATCATAACTACCCGACTCGACGATCTTCCCATCCTCCATACTACATATACAAAACAAAAAGACAACGTTGAGTGATTTACATTCAGACAAAGTTTTTGAACATGGAAAACTGACTAGACGATTCGATCGGCAGTCTTCAGCGTACTCAACCGATGAGCGATGATGACGGTGGTCAGACTACCCGAGTTCATCACGCTCTGGATCGCCTGATTCACCTCGTTCTCAGCCGCCGTATCGAGCGCACTGGTAGCCTCGTCCAGGATCAACAGTTTCGGATCCCGGACCAGTGCACGAGCGATCGCCAGCCGTTGACGTTGGCCGCCACTGAGCTGGATCCCTTTCGGCCCTACCTCCGTCTCAAATCCGGACGGCAAGGATTCGATAAACTCGATCGCATTCGCCAGCCGCGCCGCCTCCCTCATCTTACTCTCAGCAACCATCCCGCTGATCCCGTAGATTATGTTCTCCCCAATCGTCCCACTCAGTAAAGCTGGATCCTGTGGCACCGCTCCGATATTCGATCGCCACGATTCTGCCGTAAAACTCTGGATCGACTCGTCTCCATAAAAGATCCCACCGGATTGTGGATCATAGAACCGCAACAGCCTTTAGTTTCATCCGAAAAAAAAAACACCCGCTCAATTATCTAAATCTTCTGTGATAATAAGAAGGGGGAAATAAAAGAACAAACAGGTATGCCAGCGTGCTTTTCCCACTTCCAGAAGATCCGGCGATAGCAAGGGAGCTACCGGGCGTGATCTGGAGATCGAGGCCTTTCAGGATAGGAGTATGAGGACGGGCGGGGTAGGAGAAGTGGACGTTCTTGAAGACGACTGGTTTGAGGGGCTCAGTGGGACTCAAAACCCGCCCTTGACCTAAGGTAACAGATACCTAAAAAACAAAAACAAAAACAGCAGAGGCCAACATAATTAGACAGAATCGATTGGGGGGAGAGGGGGGAAGGACTGACTGGCTTGGCATCCAGAAGGTCGAAGATTCGGCTGCTCGCTCCGAGCCCTTTCATCAGCGTTGCAAACCAACTACTCAGGCTGATCAACGAAGAGCCAACATAGGCCGTGTACATCATCAAAGAAGATCTACAGAATTCACAACAAAGCACCAGTGAACATTATATAAACAAGACTTTTTTTTTAAAAAAAAAAAAAAAAAACGTTGACTTACAGGTCTCCAACTGAGATCTCTCCCCGACTCACTAACGTGCCGCCGTAAGTTAGTAAAGCAATGATCGTCGCATTGCCGGTAAACCCACTGAATAAATCATTCAAAAGATTGATAAAAAAAAGGTTAACATCAATTGAGAGAGAGAGAAAGAGATATAATTAGAAGAGAGAAGAATAAAAAGAGGTTCGATCGCGCCTGCCTCCAAAAAACAATCCTCTCGCATAAGCTTCCTTGCGGGCGAGCTCGAAGATCGTATGGGCCTTCCTATCGAAGGTCTTAATTTCGAGTGGGACAGCATTAAAAGTATGGACAGCTCTGAGCAGGTTGAGTTTCTCTTCGGTATGGCTGGTGATTTGAGCCAAGGCGACCTGAGTCTGTCTGCTGAGTTTCTTGAGATAGTGGCCGAAGAAGACGGCGCCGATAGCGGTGGGCGGGACGACGGTGAGCATGACGAGCGTCAGCTTGGAGGAGATCAGGAACATCATCGAGACCCCGGCCAGGACGGTGGCCAGGGCTTTGGTCCCGTCGGCTAAGTCCCGGGTGATCGAGTCTCCTACTAGATGACAGTCGCTGCTCAGACGGGAGACTAAGTCTCCGGTCCCATGAGAACTGTTGAGATGACTGGTGATCGAAGTGTTTGTCGTATTGTTTGAAGAAGCAGAGGAGGAAGAAGAAGAAGCGCGCAGGTCGTGCCAAGAGATATCGGCACGCATGATCGAGGCAAAGGCTGAGGTTCTGAGCCGGTTGATGATCCTCTGACCGGCGATATGCATGAGGATGATCCGCAAGGTATTGGCGCCGGATCCGAGGAGGAAGACGCCGGTGAGGACGCCGACGACGGTCGGCAGGGAGCTCGAGAAGCTGCTCAGTTGCTCTGGACTGGTGAACACGTCGATCACCCTTCCCCACAGGAAGGGCATCGAGAGACTGACAGTCGAGGAGACCGCTAACAGTCCTCCGGCGATCGTCAGGGTCTTCGTTTCTGGCTTGGCTAGTCTGATCAGCCTTCTTAGGTCGGAGAGTGAGACTGTTGAGATTGCCTTTGGAGGCTGGTCATTCTTGGTTGCTGTTGTTTCTGTTTCTGTTTTTGTTTCTGTTGTTGTGGTTGTTTTTGCTGTTGGTATTTTGCATTGATTGAGTTGGTTGGCATGAGTTTTGAATGAGGATGACTGAGTAGTAGGTATTCTTGATGTGAGTCTTGTTGTTGTTGTTGTTCTTGAGTGGAAGTGGTGCTGGTTGAGTGGGAATCGGTTGGTTAGTAGTTTGATGTGGGTAGGCCGGGTGAGTGATTGTAGTAGGCGAGGGTGATGGTGATGATATGCCATGGTATTGTTCTTGAGTTCTTCTTCTTCTTCTTTCCTACTAGTATTTATTTATGTAGTGCTGCTTGTTGACTGTTGTTGTTGTGGTTCTTGTTCTTGTTCGATCGACAAAAACTTTTGAGCCCAGGAACAAACAAAAAAAAGAAAAAAGCAGACAAGCTCGATTGGGAACCTGCAGCGCTCACTGCGCACACATCCTCAAGTCCCTCTGAAATTGCAGGGGACACACACATCCAAGCACCATGGAGTCACTTCAATCAGCTCATCTTTTACGAAAAAAGCACATATTTAATACGAGCCGCAATTCACATGGATTTTGAAGTTAAGATGTCTTTGCAAAACAAAACAGATATTAATGCATTCTCCTACTGTATAGTATACCATCAAGCTATGCCTTTGACTCTCTTGTTTGGGGAGTCACAATACACACAGCCAAAAAAAGAAAAACATTTCAACTGCTTTTCCTCACCAACTGAGATGGTTTGGAACTATAGAACCAAACAATAGTTTGGAAAATTCTGGATTCCAGTTCATTCTCAGAAGCTCCAATATGATCTGTCAAACCCATGAAGAATCATGAAAATCTATGAACTAGTCAAGAAATGGGGGGGAGACATGGAACTTATAAAAGGTGAGAAAAACAGTTTCTTTCACCCTTATGCAGCTAGAACATGAGTTTACAAGGCCAAATCGTATCCCCATACTGAGAATAGGATGCATTTTTATTATCATGGTGACGGTGTCCTTCTTGTTTTTGAATCTTGAGCTTGCCAATTAATTATCAACTTGGTCCTAAGTCCTTCCATACTCTAACATATGTGAGAAGAAAAACTATGAAATTAACAGAACATTAATTTCTATCATGAAATCAAAAATTCTGGGTTGAAATGAAAGCATCAAACAGTTCTAGACATTGTCATTATAACTGTTCATGCTGGACCCAAAAGGGTTGCTGAATGCTTTCTTTGTTGGTTATGCCCAAGTCTCTAGTGAAGTGCAACTGTGGGATCTTGCTTATGAATAAAGATGAGTAGCTTCCCTGAATTGTAAGGACAGCAGACATTTATTTTGATAAATGTTCAACAGCAGCAGCAGGGGTATCCAACAAATCATTTTTTACAGAACTGCTGACTTAATCCATGCCTGAATTCATTTATGAGAAGAAAAAAAATTTACAGTGTATGTCCATTGACTGCCCTATTTACACCATACATTTACCACTACATTTGATGCTGTTCATGAATCAGGGGTGTTTGAAATTTCAAGTTGCATTCTGCACAAAATTGTACAATTTACAAAACTTTAATGAAATCAACACCAGGAAATATCTGAGGGCAGTAGGTGTCAGGTGACATGAAGTGATGTATGTTACAACTCCATTTTTTACTCTGGTGCTTGTCTGCTCAAATAACAATTTTCCCTTTGTGGTCATCAGGGAGTCCCAACCCTTTGACTTTGAAGTAACACTGGAATACAGGCAGGAGTTAGCTTCATGTCACCTGGCATGTACTGCCCTCAAATTTTTCATGGTGCAAGTTGTTTGCAGGGACTCTTGAGAATCTAGTCTGGAGGTTTCCCCCCAGACAACCTTCGATAATTTTTGGAGTTGGCATGCATAAATGTTTGTCTGTTTAACTTTGAACTCCATAATTGATGTTGTGGACATGCTGGGCTTTTGATTTATCTAATAAAATAGGGTTCTAATGATTTTTGAGCACTCTAATTGTGAAAAACCCTTTTTTAAAAATTTTGTGGTGTTCTTTGTGCTGTTTACATGATGCTTCCCTACTTTCTTGTGATATTATCAAGAGTTCACACCTTTTCAGAACAATTTTTGTTTTCTTAGAAGCAATCCAAGAATGGTGTCCTGACTAACCATCAGGTCTTCCTTTTTGAATATCCTGTCAAGATTCCTGACTTTGTTTGTTCTGAATTCAGGATTTGGGTTTTCTTTGAGATCAGTTTCTTTTCTGGTTGAAATGAAAATTGAAATTTTTGTTTTTTGGGTCAAGGTCAATTCAATGCATTTGGACATGATTCAGGTGTTTTTCAGGATGAGTTAGCCAAGAAATATAGGTAAACTGTTTTTGATGAGGAATAAAATCAGGGGGCTTGCAGATTAGGAGGAGGCAATGACATTCTTGATTATCCCCATGGAGCTTTGTCAGGAACACCATATATTCATCAACTCCTCAGGTTTGAAAGCAATAGGGCAGTTCACGTTGCAGCCAATTCTTTGCTGTTCTTGAACGAGGTTTGTTTGCTGATGCGCAAACTTAATGAACCTAAATTGTGGGATTTAAACTCCAAAGGGGAGCCTCCCACTAAACTCTTTTGCTTTCCCATAAACCTTAAAACAGCTAGTCTAGCATAGTTTGACTGCTGATGATCAACATCAGTGATTCAGCAGTATGTGAACCCCCTTAATGAACCCCGTCTACAAACAAGTTTTAAAGCCTCCCAGAAGGATTTTCAGCGCGGCTCAAGTTCAACAACTGTCCACCTTGAACTGGGAAAAAGTTTGAGTACACAGGCATATTTTTTCATAGGGGTCTAGCTTGGGGCTGAGGGGGAGCCATCTTTGAATGCTTGAGTCACAACTTTGTCATTTTGCACCAATGGAAATTGAATAGCATCCAAAAGGTGCACACAAGTTGCCAGAATTGACTCCAATTTGCACAAGGGCATCTCTGCAAGAAATGCTGCTAGAAAATCTATTTATTCAGCCATCACCTCCATTCAAGTTTCTGCGGTGTCTGTTTGCTCTAACAAATCTTCCTGCAAAATCCTTGAAAGTGTCTGTTACGCCCGCTTAGATCGCAGTATCACATCAGTTGTGTTTGATATCCTAGTCACTACCACACCTTCTCCCATTAAATACATAGTTCCAGTCTCTGAGTGCCAAATGGTAACTTCCTGACTCCCACTTGCCATTGATTAAATAAATACTTGTGGTGTGAATAATTCAGCAAGATGAGCCTCAATCCTCTCCAATCCGATAGGGTACTCCCATAACATAGTTAAGATTGATGCAGGCCTTTGTTGAGAATTGGAACTTCAGATATCCACTGATCCACTTGTTGGCGTACTCAGCTCACAAAATGTACCACAGCCAAGTGACAAGACTTCCTGAAAGTTGATGCTGAAGAATTTGCAGTCAAAAACACGTCCGGTGTGGAACTCCTATCGTGCCAGGCGGTAGGCAGTTGGTTGAAGGGAAATTGCTTTGAGGGCTGCCTTCAAGTGGGGTCCGGATAAATTGAGCTGTGATCTGAACAAGAAATGCGTTGGGGTTGGTTGGTTTTCTGAGAGGAGACAACAGAAATTGAGTTCTGTGGCGGTTGTTGAGCTTGAGGATTGGTGTGTATGAGGATCAGATGGATTAATAATGAAAAAATCAATAAGAAATGATGGGTCTATCTTGGATCAGATCAGAGTGCCATGCTTCCCCATCATCTCAGTTCAAACTGAACTTTGACTCTGGGGAGTGACATGTCACAGACATGTCATCACATCCCTAACTACAACACAACTCAACCAAAAAACAAAAACAAGACCACACTACACAACACTACACAACACTACACACACAACACAACACTACACACACAACACAACACAAAACAGAACAGAACAGAACAGAACAAAACAAAACAAAACAAAACAAAATAATCAAGAGTGAAATAAACCAACATCCTGAGATGTCTTAGGACCAAGAAAGTTAAACAAGACTGTCTTCTGAGTAGGTGATTTGAAAAAGATAAGTAAGAATAATAAAATGATAAAAAATAAAATCAAGATGAATAAAAAATAACATGAAGAGTAAATAATAAGAGGAAATGAAATAAAATAATAAAATGAGGAAACCATTGGACTGAGTGGGGATTTGAGGTGATATTTTTGAAATCTTGAGGTTTGATGATATTGAGAAGTTGAAAGTTGAAATTTGAAATTTGACCTTGAGGGGGCCTGTACCGTTTAGAACACCACACCGGTGGCCTTTCCTATGTCACGTATTCATATTGGTAAAGTGAGTCAACAGTTGACCCAGGTTCCAAATTTCATTTCTTTTAGCTCTTTGGAGCAGCTTACTGCATGTTGATATCTGGTCCAGTGGGTTGAGGTCACATGTAAGATATGTCCTAAAGACTATCCTAACATGTGGTTCAGCACTACGGAGGTGTCGAGGTTCTTGGAGTGCTTTGAGGCAGCAGCGGACGGAGAAGAAGCGGAGGATTCGGATAAGGTTAGACAGGTGGTTAACTTTATTCAGGATGAGGAGGGGATGTGGAGGACATAAAGGGGTACGATGTCAGCCTTAGAGCCAGCCAAGCTGGCCAAAAGACTGCTTAAGTCCCCCCTTTTTACTCAGGTCCCTATTTTAACTTTTTAATTTTAATCTTTTATTACTTTCTGACTTCAGAAATGAATTCCTCTGTTAATTTTAACCTTAGTCACCACTACACACTTTTACACTACTCCTCTCCTTCATAGATTTTGTAATATTTCACAGTACCTTGTGAAATATCAACCAAGTTGGAATTCCAACTCTCTACCACATGTACATGTTGTGATTATGTAATCCAACTCTGAAAATTTTCTCAGTAGACACTGAGTTTGCATTTTCAGGATCTTCAAGGTTCAGACCCACTCAGAACCAACTCAGACCAGAAAACCAGCATACCTCAACTTGGATTCACCGCCGTATCATCGGCCGACCAGGAGGGGTTCCTCCTCGGCCGGCGAGGTTGTACCGCCGACCAGGAGGGAGTCCTCCTGGCGTGTTTTTTTTTTTGCATGAAAAAAACATTTTTTTTTCTTATTATGTTTTTTTTTTTGAAAGAAAAAAATAAAGTAAAATAAAATAAAATGAACAATGAGAGGAGCGGTCCCATAGGACCCATGCCTGGGTCCTATGGGACGGTGGCGGTCCCTAAATGCATATGTATACATATGCGTTTAGGGACCGTTGGCGTGCAGGCCTGCAGGCCATCTACCCTGCAGCAGATTGGCTTGCGGGCCTGCACGCCAATCCGCTTTGGCGTGCAGGCGCGCACACCAATCTGTGCCTGGCGTGCAGTTTGGCGTGCGCGAGGGGGGTTGGCTTGCGTTTATCAACCCCCCTAGCAGAAGCTTTATACCCGACTTGCCTCAACAATCTCTTCATCCTTCATCGGACTTGTTGTCGATTCCGTCTAACGTGGAAGCCAATTTGGATCTCATTGATAAGCAGAAGCTAGCTCGACCCAAAGAAGGAAGCCTCATATTGCCGACAGAGTGGACCCCCATAGCCACTACTAGCTTAACAGAAGGCAAAAAACAAAGTAAGAAGAAGAAAAGAGCCTTACCTAAATTGACCGAACCCACACGATTTCCAGAGTGGACGCCAGAGACTTCTACGTACCTTTCTAAGAAGCCAAAGCCCAAAAGAAAACCGAGTACACAGAAGAAACAAGGTACTTGTCTTCTCTCAGATCAAAAATTAAAAAAACTGTCAGTTTAGGGGAGAGAAACTGATCCATACTCGTCTCTGTGATTGGAATCCCACAGCTACAACCGCTCCTTCCGATAAGACCAAAACGAAAAGGTGTTCCAAAGAGACAGTACTTGAAGGTACCGCTCTCTTATCTTTCTTTCCCTTTTTCCAAACTTCACCTATAACTTGTCTTACCTATCGCCCAAACACTACCTCACTCCCTCTACACAGAACAGAAGTAACTGAAATGAACCTCGTTTTTTCTTCTTCTTCCTTTTTCTACCATCCTTCTTTGTTGCGATGGGCGCCCATTTAAGAAATGGACGTAACATCTCTATTGAACAACCACAACGCGAGATCAAATGAGGGACTCAGCCTCTTAGAGAACGAGAATCTCAATCTCAGGGAGAGTTCCAACTGTCAACTGTCACCAGGACTGGAGACCGACCTGCTGGACTACAGCGAGGCGATGACCGCCAATATCAACTCAGCCCAGCTGCAACAGAGAGGCTTCGAAAGCTTAAGCAACAACCTGCCATTGCTCAACAAGACCAATGTCAGGTCACCAGTGGGAGAAGCCTCACTGTCGAGCCAAGGGATCTCTCCGGCACTCATCAACTCCAGAGCTACCTCCTTAGCCCTAGAGAGCATGTCAAATCGCTCAACACCCGTACCGAGACCAGTGGAACAAGAAACTTTCGGAGTCCATTTGAATACCGCGACAAGCCATCCGATATTATCTCCGACCCCTCTTGCTCCAAATCAGAACGTACTCCCAGGGCTGAATCAGACTCCAGCCTTGGAGGGCCCAGAAGACATCATAGTGGACAACCCCCAACTGGAAACAGTGATAAATCTATTCAACAACCAGTGGTTGATGTTTGTCCAAGCAAGAGAAAATCAGAACGTACCTATGATGCGTTTCGCACTCCAGCAAGCGGTGGGCAGTCAGGAAGTTATCAGGAATCTAGCTGGAGGAGAGGAGATGCTCCGGATCTGCGAGAATTGGATTGCTTGCGAAGTACTAGCGGACTTAGAGAGGTTGGAACAGAACAACCCTACCCCGCAAGTTCAAAGATTAGCCATCACCCAACGAGCTCATTCACACACCATCAGCCCCTCCCCGGCTCCGTTGCCCCTAGCTTGCCAGACATCAGAGATCACGTACCTGGGTTGTGGCCAACAACCAGCACAAGGCCAACTGCCAACTCAGAGACTGCAGACCGCTCAAAGCCAACATTTGGCTTGAGGCAACCATTTGCCTCCACCCCCGCCACCATCTACTCAACCCCCACCAGCTTCAGCCTACTACAACCAGCACAGGCAAGGGCAACACCACCCGTACTATCGTCAGGGCGGCTCCCAGCACCAACAGCAGGACCCCCAGCAAATTGTTCCAAACTACAAACCTCACCATCAAGCACAAGTGGCCCAGACACACAAGCCACAGCAGCGACGTTTCCACCCCGCCCCGCGAGGAAACTGGAGAGGATACGGGAGGAATCACAGGGATCTGACAACGAGATTACTAGAGGTTGGGGATTATCTGATGAGAGCAGAGAGAGTAGACGGAAGAGTTTTCCAATATCATGGGAGGGGAAGAGGAAGGAACCAAGTCCAACGACAAGGCAACCCCCAGGAAGAACCACACCAATAGATTCTCCTCATAGTTATGACATAGACGACTTATCTGTCCCATCAAATAAAGAATTTTTTCTTCAAAATATCAATAATGATCTGTCTAGAGATGTCCCTTTGTTAATTGAAGATAGATTAAAGGATTTTTTTTCCACTTTTCTCTCCAATCTTTCAGGAACAGTAGACTCTATTCCCAGCACTCTGTTAGAATCTTGCTTAAAAAATTTCAACTCTTCTATGAAAAATTCCATTTCTAAGCTAATAAAAGATGAAATTGTTCCTACTCTACTTGAGAAAGTAATTGATAGTTTGAGTGATAAACTGAGCAAAGAGCCTAATAACCATCATTGCCCCAGCTATGTTGAATAAATGAAACAACATATTGACAAGAAGCTTGAAGACTTTCAAGACATATTGTTTGTGAGAGATACCCAAACTCACTCTAAGTTTGATGAATTAAAAAAGGACATGAGATCTACTGAAGAAAGAACCGCCAAAAATTTTCAATATATTTCTACTCAGATCAGTGATTTTGACATAAGTGAAAATAACAGATTTGAACAACTGAAGAGAAGAATAGGAGATGTGTGCCAGACCACATATGGCATGAACAATAAACTTGACTCTATCATCAAGCCCGCAGATAGAGATCCTCCCCCTCACTTGAAATTCAACAATCCTCTTTTGAATATTCCATCTGAAGCAGCTCCTCAACTTCCCCCTCAAGACCTTGAAGTTAACTGCCAACAATCAAATAATTCCCAGACCTTTATAGCTCCCACAGTGACTAATAAAGAGGAAGATGATTCTGCTAAGATTAACCTCACAAAAGAAAACCCCGTTCCATTTTGGGTTGAAGAATTCCCCTTTATTGATCATGGAGAAATTAGTTCAGATGTGAGAAATCAACTATGGAAAGGCATCCCTAAAACAAGTGAATGGGAAAAATTCTCAGGAGAACTCCCCTACAACCATGAATTATGGTTGAAAAATATTGATGTCTTTGTTCAAGATTACCTGATGACAGATGAAAACTGACTGCTTTGTTCACCGATACTGCAAAAAATTGGTACATTGGAACAACGGTGGGCCAGTTACGCTAACCGTAGTGTTAGTGTAGCGTAGTGTTAGCTTTTTAAGCTACGCTACAAAAAAGTTACTGTTAGCGAAAATTTTGGGCCACTAACACTACAGGATTTCTAAAAAAATCAAAAAAACTTTAGCGTAGCGTTAGCTGACTGAAAAAAATCCAAACTAACACTAACCAAATCCCTTGTTAGTGGAATTGTAGCGTGGTTAGTGGGCTAAAAAGTTACACTAACTGTTAGTGTAACTTTTTGATAAGTTACACTAACTGTTAGCGTAGTGATCCCCTCAGTTACACTAACTGTTAGCGTAACTGATCAAAAAGTTACACTAACTGTTAGCGTAACTGATCAAAAAGTTACACTAACTGTTAGCGTAACTGAAAACTGAGTCATAATAATGTGTAGGGGGCTCAGATGTGATGGGAAATGGTCATCAAAAAATGATTTTCAGGTAATTACTTGGGAAAAAAGCAAGAAAAAAACCAAGCATTTATTCTGGAGCAGGACAAATCATCAACTAAAAATCAAGATTTTTTTTTGGTTTTTTTTTGGTTAGGTATGTTTAGGAATAAATAATAAAAAGAAAAACTAACTGGAAGAATTTTTTTTCTGGCTAAGCATGATCAAGCATTAGTGATAAAAAGAGATAGTAAAAGGCGTAAAAAAGAGTTTTGTCCCCTGTATTCTTCGGTCCCAAACCGAAGATGCATGTGGTAGCATCCTTGGTTTGGAACCGTATTTCAAGGTGAGCTGAGTGAGATGGATGAGCTCAACCATTTTTTTTTAAAAAAAAATACAAGTACCTTCTTCCTCCAGCAACAAGGCTAAACTGGCTCATCGGACATCTCAGCTCTCATCAACTCCCCTCCCATCTCCCAGCACAGCTCAAATATCAACTGATTCATCTCACAAACTCAACCAGCTCAACCCAACTCCAAACCATCTCAAACAACTCTGACCCATCTCAAACAACTCCGAACCATCTCAAACAACTCCGAACCATCTCAAACAACTCCGAACCATCTCAAACAACTCCGAACCATCTCAAACAACTCCAAACCATCTCAAACAACTCCGAACCATCTCAAACAACTCCGAACCATCTCAACCCAACTCCGAACCATCTCAACCCAACTCCAAATCATCTCCACACTCCTCCAAACCATTTCAACCCAACTCCTAAGCATCTCAACTCAACTCAGAAGCATCTCTACACAACTCTGAGCCATCTCAACCCAACTCCGAAGCATCTCTACCCAACTCCGATCCATCTCTACCCAACTCCGATCCATCTCTACACAAATCCAAACCATCTCTACACAACTCCGAACCATCTCAACCCAACTCCAAAGCATCTCAACACAACTCCAAAGCATCTCTACACAACTCCGAACTATCTCAACCCAACTCTGACTCTGACCCATCTCAAACAACTCCGAACCATCTCAAACAACTCCGAACTATCTCACATCTCACACAACCCTAACAACAACAACAATGCCCCCAACTCGCTCATCAGGCCGAAACACTCGATCTTCTTCTTCACTAAAATCATCAACTACCAAACAAAATTCAAACTCCAAGAAGAGAAAAGCACCCAGACCTTCTCCAACCAAGAAAAACTCGTCTAGAAAACGATCCCGTGTTAACCAGGAGCAAGATGATGATGAAGAAGAAGAACCAGAAGAGGAAGAAGAACAGGAAGAGGAAGATGAACCAGAAGAAGAACAACCGGACCAGGAAGAAGAGCAAGAAGAAGAAGAACAGGAGGAAGAAGAGAGTATCAATTTAACGTTGGAAAACTTCCAAACTCAATTAGGATCTTGGTCGATTAACAAACTTCGCGAGGTTCTAGGAAAGAGAAAAAAATCATGTTCCAATCGAGTTCCACCCAAGGTTCAAGACGCCCTGTTGTTGCTCCAACAGAATTACATCAAGAGCAAACTCATGCTTTCTATAATAGGAAATATTAGTGAAACAACCACTGCAAAGTATCTGTAAGTTTAATTTTTTGTTTTCCGGTTCTGTTAATCTTGGGAAACTGTACTGATTGGTTTGATCATTTGCAGTGGTGAGAACAAACCCCCTCGTAAGAAGAGCAATTGGAATCGTTTTGTTTCTTTTAGTGTCATAAGTGAACAAACCCCAGGCAAGTCACCTTTTCAAATCAAGTAGAAATCAAATAATCAAACCATTCTGATTGTGTTTGTCACTTCTTCATCAATAGTCCCTCCAAAAGGTGTGTCCATAGGATGGGAGGAAAGAAATAAGATCTTGGGCGAAGCGTGGATGGAGCTTTCCGGCATAGAAAAGGAAGTTTTTAGTCCCCCAATCTTTCAGTTCTTCTCTAAAATTCCATGTTCTTACGACAACGACGATGAGGACGAAGATGAATTAGCCGAAATCACCCTTACTCAAGAGGAGGAGGAACTCTACCGACCCCTTTACGATCGACTGGTAAATCATGAGAAGGTTAAAATGGTTGTCTGCGAGGGACCGATATCCCAAAACAAAACAAGCACAGCACTAAAACAGGCTGAATCCAATCTTCAAAGACTTAATTCAGAAGTGAGTTTAGAGTACATGACAAGAAGTTTTGATAAATGCTGAACTCTGTTCAAAATTGATTAGATCTTTACAGTTTCAAAGTTCTACAACTCTACGTATTATCTTCTCATATCTTCACGAGTTCCTGGCGCCCACAGTTTCTGTCACGAATACTCTAATGATGCAGGTTGGCTGGCTATTACTGCAAGTAGATGGACTTTAAAGGCGCAGTTTGAAGCCTATAGCCAAGCCAGAGAACTTCAAGAAGTGTTGGAGAAAAGTGTTGGTGTATCCATTGTCAAAAAAAAGAAAAAACCTTCCGATGAACTCAAGGAAAAGCTCAGGGAGGCTTTAAATACTACACTGGGTAAGTTTTTATTTTTTTTGAACATGTTGGAGCCATTTTCTGACACACCATAATTTGACCAATCTGTAGCTTCAGCAAGGGGACTCCCTGTTAAAAGTAAAGAGTGTGTATTTCCAAAAACCAAAGACCCAGCTGCTGGGTTAAAAAAACTCGATAGTCGTTTGGAGATTGTTAGATCTGAGCAATCAACCCTCAGTCTGGAATTATTAAAGCTAGGCTTTGAAGGTTTAAAACTTGAACAAAAGCGCCTGTGGCTAGCAGATATTCAAAGTGGGGCCTTCAAAGTTCAACTTGTAGAATAAATAAATGTTTCACTCTTTTTACTTCATTATAAGCCCCTTTGCTGAAATTTGTCTCACCTTTTCTTATTTTTTCTCTTTCTCCCATGTCACTCCTTTTAAAGTTTACTCTTTTTTCCTCACTCCTGATAAATTTCTATCTCATTTAATTTTGTTTCCATATGATTGTGGCTTCCAATGGGAACTTATTTTTTAATAAAATATATGATTTCTTGCAAGAAACACTAGGCAAACACTGACTGGACTGAGTTGAATGAATAAAAAAACAAGACCACTGGGAAAGGAACAAATGCAGAAAATGAGAAAAAGTGACTGGACTGAGATAAATAAAAGAAAAAAAAAAACCAATGGGGACAGAACAAATGGAGCAAAGGTGAGATGAATCTGATTCATTCAATTAGGAAGCTTTTTTTTTTTTTTTTTTTTGTTTTTTTTTTTTTTTTGGGGGGGGGGGAGGGGTTGCATTGGCATCATCTTTGTTTTTACCACATCTTTCCCTGGTGGAAGTTTTTTGTGTAGAATAAATGGTCTCAACAGATTTACCATCATATTTTGGATAGATTGGAAGCCAATATTCATGGTTGTTAAAGACCTGTTTGATGTATATAATATAAGCAACTTGTTGATATTATGTTACAAACTGGAAACACAATGTTCATCATACCTTTTTCTCCTTGTCCTTGTAAGCAGTATATCGCCCAACTGCAGAGAAAGAACTCTCTCTGCTCCAAAACGCAACTGAATATCGACGTGGCTTCTCCTTCAGATCTGGAGGGAAATAGAATTTGGCCACCCCATGGAAGAGAATTCGGAGCGGTCCATGGAAAGAATAGCCATGAAGGCCATGACATGCCACACCCAAAGAGGGAAGCAAGAGTTCGCCTCCAAGGTGATTACCAAAGAAGAAGTCGGCGTCAAATAAAAGGGCATTCTTCTTGTCACGGTGGGTGGTAACCTGGGTGTTCAAACTGATGGTACGTGCTAATGTAATGAAATCAGCAAAATCAGTTACCAATTATTTTGAGAAGATATAAGTTAAGAGAATAATACTTACAAGCAAGAATCTTATTGGATTCACAACGCAAGGTTTCACGCACCAATCCAGATCCATTTGCCAGGAGGTACTCCACCGCTTTTTCTGCAACTTCAACTGATTGGGGTAAGAATGCTTTATTTATCCATTCAGATAAAGCAAATTGATATCTCAATTCATTCCTCATGTTAACCATCTCCAGGCATTCTGAGCAGTTGCTACTTTCCTTTTGGGGATCCGGAAGATTGGGCTCAACTGATGGCTCGTCCCTCCAGCCAATACCACGTCCTTGAAGCAATGATTCTTCGATTTGGGGTGGTGCAGATTTGGTAAATTGGATCTTTAGGTCCTGCATACCTGTGGATTTTTTCTAAAAGCAATGGCAATACAATTGATAAACAATAATAATAAGTAAGTGCATAATTAAAATACATACGTCTCCCAGTCCATATCCATAAGGCTGATAGGAGATTGTATTTTTTCCTTTGGTATTGAGTTGCGGTTTTGGCGGTGGGAGAGGGTTGGGGTGGTGGTTGGTGTTGTTGTTGTCCTCCACATCTTTGGATGTTTTACACTTCTTTTTTGCTTTGCCTGACGTAGGTTTGGGATTTGGAGGGTCTGGATTGAATTTGCGTTTTGGCGCTGGGGTTTCCGAGGCTTCAGGTGGCAGGGCTGCCTTGGGTTTGCGATTTGGAGGTTGGTGAGGGAGTTTGGATTGTTGGGCAGGGGTTGCGGAATTCTGGGAGGGCAGTTCTTCTGGGGTGGATTTAGGTTTGGGGTCTCGGATTTCGCCTTTGTTGTCCATATCAAGAGGTTTTGGAGTTTGAAGGGGACCAAGGGGGGGGGAAAGTACTGTACAGTATCTTGTCTTTGGCCTCGTTCCAATTGCAATTCTTAATGGCATCATTCAGGCCAGCCAATGCACGATCCTATGTAGAATAATATTAGCAAGATTAGATGGGGTAATTAAAATATATGAATATTAAAAAGAGGTTACATGATCAATTCCACTTACAGGGGGTGATAAGTATATCCCATCTTCTTTAGTATGATCTGGCCGAACAGCCACCCCCACACATCTGCCAGCCTCGTCCAACAACACAACCATTTTGTCCTTTGGCAAAAGCTTACACTTTTTCTCCATGCTAATGGAGTACTCCACAAACTTCTCGTAAGTTGGATATCGGAGGCAGAAGGGCTGGGGAGCGTTGGGGTTTGTCTGGAGCTCTTGGGTGTGTTGGTTGATGGTTTGGTTGACGTGAAGAGCTGCATGGTGGATCTGGCTTTGCAGGGGGGTCCTTGGCGCAATTGGTTTCTTATGATTGTCAGTTGGTTCCGGAAGCGGTTCGCCCAGTGGATGGGCCTTTGGACCAAATTGGTCCAGCACCATATCGACCAGTTGCCTGATGTGGATGTTCCAGTGCATTTCCTGCATGAGAAAAACCGCCAGCAGGTCAAAGTCTACCTTCTCAACACATGCCTCGGAATGTTGTTGGTTGAGGGTCTTGCACAGTATCCGGATCATTCTGGCTTCCTGCTTGGCATTAAAGTCCATTCCGCGCATCTGGTGGTCCCAAGGCGATCCCATGGTGCTACATAAAAATGGAGGGATCAATCAGCCACCTGATTGGTCCAATTATTCAGCATCACACCCCCCATTGAAGCAGGGGCCATTGGTTTTTCGACAACTCCGCCAAGTCCCCAATGGCCCTAAAATACCCAGGCAGATGAACTGCTCCGCTCGAACCTGCCCAGGTATAGCTGCTCTCCAGGGGGTGAGGTGCATTATTCATAAAAGGAAAGAAAGATACTGACGTGATGATGTGGATGGAGAATTTTCTTCCAAAGGGTGGGGTACCTGTGCTGCCAGAAATGTAAAGAGTCAGCTATGGCATTTCACACCACGGATGTTTCCAAGGCACTTGCATGCGAGTGCCTTCTTGTAATTTAATGAATACTTTGGTCTGAACCTGAGCGCATGAGAGGTGCAACTTTGGCCAGATTTTGGTCAACCTGGTCCCAACATCAGTTGATTTCGGGTGCAACTCAGCCATGAGTCTTGCATAACTTAGCCTTAAACCTTGATCATACCAAGGTTTGGCCTGTGTGAACTCCTATGCAATACTCAAGCAATATAATCAAGAGCCCTCTACATATTATGATAAGCTCATATTCTTAGTTATACCTCACCTACCCAATCGATATAAGTATGAAGACTGACCTCATCAGAAAATTCACAACAATACTGCTGTGTTGGTTGTTTGTCTTGAGTAGTACCAACAACCGAACCAGCAAGAATTGATCTGTTTGTGCAACAAGCTATGCTCCATCGGCAAGTAAAGACCGGGTATGGTGACCCAGCAACTAGCACCAGACATGTCAGCAAGAACAACATACACTTTTAATATGCCTACTTTGTTGAGAATAATCTGTGTTCTGCTGGTCGAAGTAACCACTAAGATGTATATACACACTGGTGGGATGCCCCCCCAATATCTCCTTTATACTTCCATGTTGCGAGTATGGGTTCAGTCTGGGCCAAACAGGGATCCATGTGTTATCCCAAATAAAGCACAGCTGTTACATCCACTCAGAAGAGGCAACAAGTTCCAACCTGGGATATTTTCCTGTGGTTTCATTCCTAGTCATAGTGACCTTGTCAAAATTTAATTTCTCAATTCATTATGGCTGTTGTTTTCTGCCTCGGTCAAATCCTCATCTCATTTCCCTCCAGAACCACAATCTCTCCCCCTGCCGATGTTCCTCAAGTCGTATTCCTTCAGCGAGGGAACCGCCGAGTCCATGTGTTGGGTGCAGGAGGCTTGTCTTTTGGGGATCTCAGCGAGATTCAAAGCAGGTTTGTTGGGCAGTTGTTGGGGCCTGTTGGTGGCTGTTCGACTCGGATGACAGAGGCCAAATTTTCTGATTTGGAAGAGTCGTTGATCAAACTTCAAGCATTCGTTATCACAAAGAGTTCAACACATTCTCAACTCCGTGCATGTGTTTTCAGTCGGTCGAAGGATGTTCAAACGGTTCTTTCTGCTTTTTCTGGGGCAGGTATTGATATCCTGCCAATTTGGAACTACAACCAAAGCCTTTTCTTTGACATACCACTATTTACGTCAAGCAATCATCAACACGTACAATCTGAAAATTTCAGATGGCTCCAGCCATACCTCTTCCAGTGCAAAACAAAATTAAAAGATCACCAACTGAGCGCCCTCAGATTTCTGAAGAAGAACGAGTCAGAGGGAGACACGATTTCACAAGTCTGGAATCACTCAGACAACAACTGGATCAGGAATAATGTAGGAGATTGGACTGAACCGCAAACTAGCAGTGAAGATCGGAGACCACGAGGATCAATACTTGCGGATGATATGGGGCTTGGAAAGACTTTGACCGCATTGATGTTTATTCTAGCGACTAGCCAATTGGGCGTAAATTTTCGGCATTCTAACATGGACGGGACAGCAGCAACTTCTGCGGCCACACTTATCATATGTCCTCTGGCGACCCTATCTAACTGGGAAAAC